ACCAGGTTCTTCTAATTTATTTTTTTTCTGCATACAGCTGGTGCTCAAGCTCTGGTACCAGTCCTCCCTGGCTGATCTAAGCCACTTCTAGTTTCTATTACATACCATTCACTGCTCTCCAGAGGCACTATTTGGAAGAAGCTATTTGGGGTTCAATTAGGAGTTTCAGGCCGCAATATCAGGAAGTCAGCTAAAGGAAGTGAAATATGCTATTTGACAAGATTAAGGGTCTAATAAAAGCTAAGAGATTCCAGCCTCCCTTTGTTGATAACAGAGTAATTCAAGGAGACTCGCTGAGATCCCTGAATACAGCAAATCTGAACCCAGATTTGTCAGTTTTATGTGAATGCATTGCTAGTGTTGCTTGCATCCCTTGGTATTGCTTTTTTGGATGACTTCTTATGTTTCTTCTGCCTTGGGAGAACAATGACATATTCTAAAGTATGCCAAAATCTGTATCTACACTTTGCTATTTCCAGAATTAAATCAAACAACTGAACATGAACATCCTTTCTACCTGGTCCCTTTCTTTTCAGCCCTTGCCCTTACAACCCAGCTTCACCCTGTTAGTGCCAACATCTAAATATTCTAATTTCCTTTTTTTCTACTTTTATTACACACACCACCACCTCCTGCCTCATTCAGGTCTGCATGTTTCCCTGCACTTTTTTCAACCCCTCATATGCTATAACTTTTCAACAAAACATGGAGTAGGAATACGGAAATAATACTGGAGACACCATATAAGAATCTCCAATCAAAAAACCCTGAAGTATAATTTCCATTAGTCACAATTAGATCCGGTGTCTATGAGGTTACAGAATCACAGCTGGATTTCAGGCTGCTGTATACTCTAATGATCTACTACCTGAGAATTGAGTATAATTGAATTTGATGGTCTTAGAGGTCAAAAGCTGCTGCTGTTTTGGGAAACTTAAATGAAGTGAGATACAATGCATAGAAAAGCCTGCTAGTTATGACTTTTTCATCATGGCCTATACATTTTTTAAAGGACAAGCACAAGCTGTAAAAGGTGCAAGGCCAGATAGAGCCAGAGCTTTTGAGGAGCAATGAATCTGAATTATTAAATCATGGTTAAGAAAGCTCATAAGCCGTAATGCAAATGTGTTAATATGCCTTTTAGCATGATTTACCAGCTCTGCTCAGAACTCCCGAGAATTAAAATCACAAAAGGTTTCACAGTGGGACAGATTAATTTGCAAGACGGTTTTGGAGCATTTTGTCCAATTCTTTTTCTGATTACTCAGATATAGGTTGTGCAACTGATTCTAGCAAGTGCTTAAGAGACACCAGAAATCAAGACACTGATTCTTATAGGTGGAAGGGTATGTTAATCAGGCAATAGGGGAAATATGGAAGAGATCTTGGAGAAATTAGGGAAATCCACATTCCAGGAAAACTTCTGATGTTGTTTCTCCAAAACTGCAATACTTTTTCAGATGATGGAGGAGGTTCACTAAGGAATGGATACGGTGTATTTGTTCAAATTATGGAAAACAACTTTCACTGTTGACCTCTCAAACAGGACGGGAAAAAACATCTCAAGAGAACGGTATCAATGATTCCAAAAATAGCACAATAATAGATTTCCTTGTCCCTGAGTAACTCATAGGTACATGCTGAGGTCCCCAATTGCTGCAAGTTTAAACAAACAAAAAGGGTAGTCTTCAGACACCTAGGACACTTCTTGGTAGGGTCTCTTCAAAAGGAATCATGAAGGAAGGAAGAGAATATATGCAATTGATTACCTAATGTCAGTATCTCGATGCAGAATAAAAATATTAGTGACATCAGCAGGACTCTTCAATAACCTGAAAAACCAAAAATGGCCACGCACAGCTAGAGACAGTGATGTAGGATAAAGGAACACTGTAAAGAAATAGATCAACTTGCAGACATTTATTTATTTTTTAAGTCTGGGGTCCAAAAATTGTTTACAACAAGAAGACAACAAATTAAAAGTATTCAAGTCAAAGAAAGACCAAATATTACCTTACTGGGTAGGGAAAACAAACACGACACCAAAAAGATCATTATTGTATTCGTTCAAAATGAAAATATAGCTGTTGGGTTTTAATACATACCGATCAATTTTAGTCCATGTTCATCTATTTCAAGGCAAGTAGAAATCAGCTTGATTTATGTCAAGATAAATTTGAAGATAGACACTACATAGAAAATTTCCCAAGTGTAATTAGCAGTAAACCAGACTAAGTAGGAATGTCATGGTATTCCCTTCTTCACCAATTTCCAAAGGCTGGTCCAGACAAAACTGTCAGGGCGATTCTAAGCATACTTATTTTGTCTCAGATCAGGAGCTATGAACAGATGATCTCACAAGATCCCTTTTAGCCTAGGTTTCTATGAAAACAGAAGCTGATTCAAAATGTTAAGATTTTTAGAAATAGGTGGACTTGAAAAATTTTCATCACCTGATACCTACTAAGGAGCACCATTACTGAGTGGCTGTCCAGCTCACAGAAAGAATACATGGCAGCCATTTGAATTTCAAGGTCTGTGTCATTTACAAGAAGAGGAAGGACAATCCCTGATGTCATTAAAAAGATAAGCAATTTGCACAATAGTACTACTGATGACATGACTAAATATAGAGCACATGCTCATTCCTGATCTGGAATGTTTTCAGTTGACCCATACAATCCACAGAAGTCAGGAGAGCTAGACACAAGGAAGGGTGGCAAGAGTCACAAGATATGTACAAAAGTTGGGCAAGATACCACCCATCTCCAGCCTAAGGACTTTCCAGGACAGGATTAATACATATTGCCTGCAGTGCCAAGTAAATCTGGAATGGAACGGGAAAGGCATTGTCACCAAAGGACTGTGCTTTATCTTTTTATAAGCACTGACATTAAATAAAACAACTTTTGCATTTTTTGCACTGTGCAGTTTATGCTGTGGGGAAAGTGATGGCAAATTTTAGACAAAGATTTTTAGAGCCCGTTTCCCTGGCACTGGATTGAGACATTCCCCTAAATTTCCATGGGACTAGTGTCAGGCAGTAGAATTCTATTGAGTACCAGAAGATAAATATAGTTCATAAAGTAAGAAAGATTAAATAATAGTAAATCTATTGTTGAGGGAATTCCAAATATGGGAAAAGGAATTATTCATTTTCCTGGCCACAGGAAAGAATATAAACAAGTTCAAATTCTAGCCACAGTTCCTTTGAGGAAGATACGGAGCATGGCAGGCATTGGTACAAGAATAATTTTCAGGCTCACTGTATTACTGTGCAGTATGATCTGACTGGTGGCTGCACACAGATCGGCGAGACTATAACACTGCTGAGCAAGTCAGATGGGAAAATGACATTGAGAAGGCAACGCTCATGCTGCATAACAAATCCAAACTTCTCCTTCCAAAACACGATGAACTCAGCTAGGAGTAATGGTAATTATCTTTAGTTAAAAGTTTTCTTTTCCAAAATACTAGCAGTATTTAAAAGCGGGTTCATGCTGAAAGTACCTTTTGTGGAATCCAGAAGAGATCTCCAAAACAATTCTATTCTCCTTACAAATCTCCTTCATTTTTAAAGACATCCTACTGATTTACCTTTTAGATGCTAATATGTGAGTATATCCAACTACCTCTGTCACCTGTATATCCTATTGCCCAAAAGATTTATGTTTCAGGAATCAAGTTAAGCTTGTCCCCTGAAATGCACAAAAATGCATGCAAAAGCAAAAATTAATGAATCCATTTCCTAATGACTGACAATTCAGAATTTTCTGTCACACAAGCTTTTATGATTACTATATTTAACACAGTCGTATTGCTTCTTTTCATTTTCTCTCCTTTTGCATTTCATAAAGTCTCAATAATTTGCATACCTAACAACTAGAATCCTTGTACTAAGACATATTTGGTAATCAATAATTAAAATAAATAACAAATAGTCATAATTGTGTTATGACACGTCTTATCATTCTAAATACAAGTGGAAATAGTGAAATGGCTGCAGAGTGTTCAAGTTATTTGTAGAAGGGAGAGATACAAAAGAACAATTACATGCCAAAGTCACTTACAGGATAATTTCCAGAAATTTAACTAAGATTTTTATAATGAACAGTTGAGGGTCTTTTTTCTTACTTTTTTGGCAAGGGAAACTGTAGGCCTGAGAGCACTGAGGAAAACCCTCGGTTCTTCAACTTTTGTAAACCTGGGACTATCAACATTTGGTTTGTTTTAAAACAGACATTTGGAAGTCAGTTCCATGTTTATGACCGCAAATAGGCTCACTGCCATCCCATAGCCACGGGCACCTGAGTATGAAGAGGGGATCCTTTTATAAGAAATGGGATAAACAGGAAGATAGACATCTCTCACCCTTTAAGACTAAAAACTTTAAAATTTTAAATCAAACTTGAATTCTCTGAGGTTTCCTCACTGATTATGCATTCTACTCCTTTCCCGAAGATGAGATATATCACCTCCGTATTCCCATCAAAGCTTTCTTTCCCCAGCTTTGAGTCCACTATCCCTGTGTAATAGCCCACAACTGCAACCTGCACAAAGACATTTTTTTAACGAAATTATAGACTGCTGAAATCAGTATCCAGGCTCCTCCTGAAGCTTGTTCCTCATTTGCTTTGCAAGACCTAAAACTTCACCCTGGAGTCCCCTTAATAACAATCCCCACACAAAACTCCAGACAAGATTATATTTCAGCATCTCTGCCCTGTCTTCCAGAGATGTTTTTTTCTCAGCAGGCCTATAACTCACCGAGGTCTCAGCCCTCTTCCAAAATAAGCTTTTGCCAGGAAGAGGAATCTCTTCCCACTGTGGTCTTCCAGTTCCTCTTTCAAAGACTCGTTTGCGGGAGAGTCTAAGATTTGGTTATCTGCTTGTCCCCAGAAGAAGATAAGTGAAGGTTGACCGGCTCCTTGATTTTTCTGGTAACATGAAGTGTACATACCTCATTGCAGGTTTTCCAATATCCTACTTCTTACCTGTTTTTTCCTGCTGTTACAACCCTAGCAAGTGTGCCTCCTTGCCAATCCTCCACATGTTTTCTCTTCTTCCTATGCTGGACTCAGGTCCTTCTGTTGTTTTCCAGTCTCCTGCTACGCATCTGTATCCCCTCCACTCCTGGCTTCAATGGTTTACTACAGCAATCAGTTACTTCCTAAAGACAATGTGATAAAGCATCTGTATGTGAGCATGACACAGCCAGTAGCTATAGTAACAGAAAAGCATACTTTAAACAGAAATGGAACAAAAAAAAAATCCAAGAGGTATCTCTCATCTTTTCCCCAATCCCCAAATACTGCAGGATTCCATAAATATCCTCCTGAATATCTTCAGCTGTGTCTCCCCCAGCCCAAAACACAGTGAGACAGAAGAAACCCTTTCTTTTGCCTGATTTAAGGGGAAAAATAAATAATCACACACAACAAAACTAGAAAGAAAATATCTCTTTCCCAGAAAAAGAAAAAATAAACCCCGAAGTTGCAAACCCAGGATAAGTAAAATTGTCGCTATCCCAGTTCTGCCTTAATTTCTGGTACAGGTTCAGCCACAGGACCCTTGCAGACTGTGAAATTAATTTCCACTGTTCCCTTGTTGTCTTAGTAATCTTCCCTTCCTGCAATCCGGCACAACCAATGCCATTCAGTTTGCAAGTCAGTTCAATCTCAGACATAATGGGGCTGAACAGTTACTCCTATTCCTCAAAGAGATGGATGGGATACAGACGCGTGGCTGTTACTTTTGGGTTAACAAATTGGTCTCGGGCAATTTCCAGGGCAGCACCGCCCAGAGGCTTCACCCGGGGCTGAGGCTGGCATCGGTGCCTGGCTGGGCCTTCCCCCACCCACAGCCCCAAATCCCGGGGTGCCGGTGGGTTCCCAGGGCCACGGCGCCCCGCATGGGAGCCAGCCCTGGGGACGGGAGATACAGCTGAGCCCCCCCGGCTCTCTGGGCGCGCACAGCCAACTCCTGTAGGGCAGCTCCCCACCTCAGGCTGCTCTGCGGGAGCTACAGGGGCGCAGATCCCCAGGGAGTCCCGGGAGCCCTTTGGGAGGTTAGCGAGGGTTTGAGAGAGGACATTTTTCCCCAGTGTGGTGCTGTGCTGTCTAAAGACATCCGTTCACAGCCCGAAGCCGTAAGGCCACGAGCTGATGCTTGCGACCCAGCTCGCTGTTGCCCAGACCTGGAGAACAAGTTCTAATAATTCAAAATAGCATAGGTAACTTAAAACACAGCTACAGACAGGAGAGCCTCCTGCAAGTTCTTGAGGAGAGCTCTTGAATCTGTCTGGACTGAGTCAAGATATTAAAGAAAATATGCTTTTCTTAACCCTTACGTATTCTTCATTCCTCTAGAGCCTGTGTAGGTGGACTTCCAGAGGAAAGACCAAAATAGACGCAGTGTCTTTACCACTAAAAAGGTCCCCAGGGTGCAAAACACTGTTCAGTAATTTAATGCACTTATACGTGTGTCACACCTTTTCATTCCCACTTCTTAAAATATGCTAGTTGAAATAGATAAACAATACAGACTTAATTCATACAAAAAAGATGTCTAGTGAACTTCATTATTTTATATAAATTCAAAGAAATGAAACCTTTATTTAACTGCAGTATTACCTTTCAAAAAATTATTCTTGAGACTTACTTTCTTGAGAGAGTAGGACTACTCCATATATCTTTTAAATATATACAAATTTGTTACTATTGACAATAAAACCCACCTGAAATATATTTCCTTTTAATCAGCAAAGTAACCAACCATGCAAGTAAGGGGAGAGAATTATGTATTTCAGCAAGTTATATCCTGATATTTATCAAACTGGAATATTGTTATACCTGATTCAGTTTTATACATTGACATTCCTCCATTGTTATTGATTAATGGTTAAAACTCTCTAAGGTTGTTACAAAACACTTATAATTTGTATTATTTAGAAACCTAATGGATGTGATCTCTACAAATGATGGGTTATATCCCACTTCTTAATTAGAGTCCTCTGAAATATAATTTAAATAATAGGTAAGCAGATTAAATACAAAAAAAGAACAAAAGCAAGGCAGTTTGCAAAATGATAAATTTATGTTTTTTTCTCAGCGCTGTATAGTTTTTCCACAAACTGGAAAATACCATCTGTCTCAATAACTTGTTAGATCACTGTATATCTGGTTTTACATATTGATTCACTCAGTTTCAATGTCAATCATAACATGAAAATTTAATAAAAAACAACTCTGATTGTTCTTCAGAGACTTAGCAATAATTACTCCTGTATCATCTCAGCCAAGGAGATGTCTTTCACGTGTGCTGTTTTTCGAGCATAACAATTGTACATTTCTTTTGGGTACTGCATACTTCTCAAATCAGTATTTCATTCACTGAGATGTTGATGGCTGCCTTACCAACGTATCACATTGGGGTTACACTTGATAAAATTGGAACTGTATTCTGTCAACAATAATTATGTGGGTGTTTTGCTCATTTCCTGCTATAGCTGTCCCATGGCAACAGTGTAAAAGCAGTACTCATTTTTTAAATACATAAATGACTCCTTAGATGACACGTTTCTGGCTCAGGATTGGCAAAGGCATGGTGAAAACAAAGACTTTTTTGAGAAACTATCACAACTACTTCCATTATATGCAAATCTGGGGGGAATGTGCTAATTCCCAAGTGGAGGGTGGCAGCTTTGCTGGAGCAGTAGCAGTGGTGGCCTGAGGCATTTCCAGAGATGGATAACAAGCTAGCATTTTCACTTTAGGCCATTCTCTCCCCTTGCTGCTGAATTTCCCAAGAAATGCCTCCACCAAAGGTCATTATTCCTATTAACCCTGCTTTTGGAGTTGTTGCTGCTAAAGAAAATCAGATAAAATCATGTTAAAAATTTCACTTTTTATCAGCATTATGCCCTCCTGGAAGTGCTGAAAAAACAGCTGATGGTATTGATGGTGATACTTTCATATAAACTCTGGAAAATAATTAGTTTGGTAGGTGGGAAATCAGTTTTGCAATTTTCAGTTGTAGCTGTTTTGAGAATATTTACTTTTCTAAGATTATTTTGTTTCTTCTGAATCAAGATGAAGCTAAGCAGGGATTGTACAAAGAGCATACTGCTTTTGTAAAGCAGTTACAAGGTGACTTAGGTTATGCAGGCTTTTCCCCTCGGCTCTGTGAACATCTAAGTTCCAGTGTAATAAGACCTGATGGCAGGATCAAGTGCACCTACAACTCCAGCCATTCAACTACTAGCTTCACTGAGAAAATTAGCAAAAATGATACCATTATGGCTATTTTTTTCTTAATATGAGCACCCAACTAAACTTGTTTCATTTAAGCTGATGCTAATAAAATGAGAAACATCTGGAGATCCAGATCAGGCTGGATGTTTGGAAGAAACCATTTAATAACCCACCATATGTCCCTGGAAGAACCCTTTCTTTTGGTTTTAACATTGCAGAGGGATTTTAGGAAAAACACGTAACACTAGCCAAGTGTAAGATATATAGATATATGTAAGATCTATGTATTTAAGATGCATCTATAATAGATTTCTGTGCACAACCATTTTGCATGAGGGGAAAGAAAGACAACTCAAAAGTCAGGTGACATATAATGACAAGCTGTATATTGGTGTACTGACAAAGCCCAGTGTGCCTGGAATGTCGAGAGTGAATCTCATGCTAGCCACATATCAGTTGTCTTTTGTATTGTCACACGGATGTAAAGGAAACAGTGAGTGTTTGCTATCAGCATCTCATTAACCACTGAATTCTAACCATAGTTTTGGAACAAAGAACAATTTTATTTGATGCCAACCATTGTCTGTAGTGGTGAAACAGCACAGTTTCCATTAGAGGAGGATGAATTTTAATTCTGATAAGATGTGGGGATGAAATGTTAACTTAAGCCAAATGAATATTCATATAGGAAAGTGAAAATAGGTGTCAAGGACTTGCTGCACTTAAGTCCTTGGTTACATGAAAACTGTACACCATTCAACAAAACAACAAGGTTTCTAATGATTACTTTCCCCATATAATTTATTCATCTATTCCAGAGCAGTGTTTCGGGGCTTAATGAGTATTTGTAAAGCTCTGGCTGAAATGCACTCTCTAAATGCAAAACATTATACCATTTACAATGAATGAAGTAGTGCAGATTACTGGTTCAAAAAAGCCACTAAAGCTCATCAACATGTGCATTTGAAGGGTGTATTACTTCACCGGCGAGGAAAGCCCGCTGTTGACGTCCTATCCAGTTGAAAGGCCAAGTGTGCTTCCTTCCCACTGAATCCACTCTGAAGTGCAGAGAGAAAGGAAAAGTTGTGTAACTTTGTCTCTTCTCTTATTTTCACCCCATTTCATCCTTATTTTCCCCATATGGGACAATCCTGTATCACATCTCAAAGAACAGAGAATAAACAAACAAGATTAAGTAGCCGCTCCCTTTGGAAACAGCTTTTCTTCATTTCTGAAAAATGACAGCTCTCTTACCAACATGGTCCAAATCTCTATGTCCTGTCAGTTCAAGCACTTTTATTACTATCTCTAACATCAAGAAGAGAGTGCTAGAACACCGGGAGAGCTGAGGTCTTTCAGCACATCTCTACCACCTTGGCACTCTACTGCAGTCAACTCTTGTTCCTTGAATGGCCATATTTCTCCTTGGAAGATCAGTTTTCTGAGCTAGAGATTTCTTAAAGTGTACGACATACAACAGACTTCTGTCAGCAGAAGTGGCAAACAAGATGATCCCATGTTTCCACATGCTATCTGCTTGAAGATGTGATTCTCTTGCCCATTGTCGCAATGCCACTGCATCTGTTAAAGGTTCTGTATGCCTTTTTAACTAGTTAAATGTCTATTTGAAAAAATGAGATTTCCAAAATGATAATTTCCTTAAGGTCTAAACTTTTTTTGTTCTTTGTACACTATAATAGTTGCATTATCACTAATGATAAAAACTGATGTAACACTAGTGATGGTGAAGAATAGTTCCACTAATTCTAGAAGAAATTCAAGACTTTATAAGACCAGGTTTTAGTATGAAAAGAGAAACACCAGGCGCAGTAAACACTGTGGAATTAAGTCAGTCCTTCTTTCCCTGTTAACTAACTGTTGCCCAAACACTTTATTTCTACATCTCGCTGCGCGCAAT